CAATAGTCCATCTAGTCCAGCGTCCCGTCTCACACAGTGGCCAGCCAGTTCCTCTGGAAGGCCAACAATAGGGCACAGAGGCCGAGGCCTTCCTAAGAACATCAGAAGAGCCCTGCTGGATCAGACCAGTGAGGGTCCATCTACTCCAGCCTCCTGTCTCACACAGTGGCCAACCAGTTCCTCTGGAGGGCCAACAACAAGGAAGAGAGGCCGAGGCCTTCATAAGAACATCAGAAGAGTCCTGCTGGATCAGACCAGTAGTCCATCTAGTCCAGCACCCTGTCTCACACAGTGGCCAACCAGTTCCTCTGGAGGGCCAACAACAGGGCAGAGAGGCCGAGGCCTTCATAAGAACATCAGAAGAGCCCTGCTGGATCAGACCAATAATCGATCTAGTCCAGCGTCCTGTCTCACGCAGTGGCTAACCATTTCCTCTGGAAGGCCAACAAAAGGGCACAGAGGCCAAAGCCTTCCTCCGACAAGAACATCAGAAGAGCCCTGCTGGGTCAGACCAGCGGCCCATCTAGTCCAGCCTCCCATCTCACACAGTGGCCAGACAGTTCCTCTGCAGGGCCAACAACAGGGCACGGAGGCCCGAGGTCTTCCCCTGATGTTGCTTCCTGGCTCTGGGAATCAGAGGTTTAGTGCCTCTCAATGTGGAGGTTCCCCTCAGTCGCCATAGCTAGCAGCCGTTGATAAGACTTATCCTCCATGTTCAGAGGCAGTCAACCTTTCTCCCAGGGCCAGCCAAAAGAAAACATCAGGGGAAGCCCTCGGCTTCTATGCCCTGTTGCTGGCCATCCGGAGGAACCGGTTGGCTGCTGTGTGAGACAGGAGGCTGGACTAGATGGACCACTGGTCTGCCTTGTTGTTGGCCCTCCAGAGGAACTGGTTGGCCACTGTGTGAGACAGGAGGCTGGACTGAATGGACCCTCATTGGTCGGATCCAGCCGGGCTCATCTCGCATTCTTAGGAAGGCCTCGGCCTCTATCCCATTTGTTGGCCTTCCAGAGGAAAACTGGCTCTTCTGATGTTCTCACCAAGCACTCAGCCTCTACTCCCTGCTGTTTGCCCTCCAGAGGAACTAGTTGGCCACTCTGTGAGATGGGATGCTGGGCGAGATGGACCACTGGTCTGATGTAGCAGGGTTAGGGTTTTTGCGTTCTGATGATTTTTGTGCAAGCAAGGCGTATGCCTCCAAGTATGGTCCGAGAAGGGGGAACCCTGGTGCCCCAGGTTTCAAGAGTTTGGGGTCTTCCCATCCTGACGACACCTTCAATCACGGCTTGGCCTTCTGCTCATTCAAACTTTGACCCAGGAGAGGCTTAACTCCTTCAGGCAAGATTCATGTCATTTCTTGCCCTCTGTACAGGACCTTGCGCATTGCTGGCACCGCAGGCAACGCGCTTATGCGCTAGCGGAGTTATGTTTTCTCTCCCAAACCGGGTTGGAGAAAGTTTGAAAATGTTTTTGTCGCCGATGTTAAAAAAGTTGCACGGAGGATTCTACCGAAATGGCAACACCCTGCCAGAAGGCACGGCTATTATCCTGTTACCTTACGATGAAATACTCGGCTCTGAATGGCTCTTGTCGCTCAGATTTGCATAATTAGTGCCGCGCTCTCTCCGGTAACTGGCACGCGAAACCGCCGCCGTGAGATCGACTCCCGGTCATTAGCCGGCAGTCTGCAGTCATCTGTATAATTGAGGAATGGCTATAGAGCGGGATCGTTTTGCAAATTCATTCTCCGAGGAGCGGCAATCAGAAGTACCGAACTGTTTGCCAGCAACGGAGCAAGCTCAATTAGCATCACCCTCCTTTCTCCTACCCCCCAGGTAAGCGGGAAATGCCAAACTTGCATTTAAAAAGTTACGTCGGTGAAAGAGAGGAATGTGTTCCCAAGGACAAGGCTTGGTTCTTCCGACCCAGAAAATTCTGCACAGCGTTACGACGCTGCTTGTGCAGGGCCCCAGTCTGGTGTTTCAGGAAAGGTGTTTTTATTGGGGGCCAGGAGAGAAAGCTTTCGGTTTTCACAGGGCTCTCTCAGTGTCTCAAGGGTTCTGCGCGGCTGAAAAGGTTTGCCACATCAACCATCTCAAGGTCAGGTCCAAGAGCCAACAGAAAGGAGATGGAGCACTGCAATGGGGTGGCATGCTCACTTCCGTTTATACCCCATCTCTCTCCCCAGTTGGGGACACAAGGTGGCTTACGCACAGGAACACACCAAGCTGCCTTATGCGGAATCAGAAATAATACAAAAACACTGTGATTGACCTTTATGAATATACTTAAATGCAGGGGTCATTCCGTAGAAAAAGAGGGGCAGAAGCTCATTAGCATAACTTATTAGCATAACTCATTTGCATATGCCACACCCCCTGACAGTTTGCTAGTTTGGTGTAGTCGTTAAGTGTGCGGACTCTAATCTGGGAGAACCGGGTTTGATTTCCCACTCCTCCACTTGCACCTGCTGATGTGACCTTGGGTCAGTCACAAGCTCTGGCACAGCTGTCCTTGAAAAAGAGCAGTTTGTGTCAGAGTTCTCTCAGCCCCACCTACCTCACAGGGTGTCTGCTGTGGGGGGGGGGAGGGGAAGGGAAAGGAGTTGGTAAGCCGCTCTGAGACTCCAAGTGAAGGGCGGGGTATAAATCCAATCTCTTCTTCTTCTTCTTCTTCTTCTGACATCACCGGAAGTGTGTCAGAAGGCAACGCCCACCGCTCAGGCTCCACTGGACTGTTTTGGATTGCTATCTATTGGGAGGGGGGGACGTGCAGACACTAGACTGTTTTGGATTGCTAGCTATTGGGGGGGGGGACGTGCAGATCTGTCCTTGCAGAGGAGGGAGAGCTTGTACCTGAATAAAACTTGGTCTTAAAGGTGCCACTGGTCTGTTTTGGACCGGGGGGCCGGGGAGAGCTCTGTAACTTACCTGGCTGCTTCTTGCTCTGACTGAGGGCTGCTGGGAGCAGGGGGTGGGGCTTGTTGCATGTGCCCGCCCCCTGGGCTCTTTACTGCCGGAGCTCCGCTCCTGTGCGCTCCTGCAGGAAATGACCCCTGCTTAAACGCAACTCTTAAGGCTGCTATTCATAAAGCACTATTGGATACGATATATCGTTTGTGGACTGTTCGAAGACTTTTGAATTTTTGCACACGGTCCCTGATCTGACTGAGGTTTGATATTGCAGGCTTTGAAACTAACAATGCTAATGGTGCAATATGCATTTTATTTCTTACTGCGTTTCTGATTTACTATTGTACTCCGTGAACTGAACTTTTAAGATACCCTTAAGAGTTGCATTTAAGTGTATTCATAAAATTCAATCGCAGTGGCTTTTGTATTATTTTTGACTTCTTTCCCGTGATCCTCTCTTTGTATTGGCTTACGCTGAATCAGAGCATCAGTCCATCAAAGCCAGTACTGTCTACGCCAGGGGTGTCTAACTCATTTGTTATGAGGGCCGGATCTGACATAAATGAGACCTTGTTGGGCCGGGCCATGTGTGTCATAAAATGTAATGCCAGGTAGCGGAGATATAAACTTTATAAAGGACACACAAACACAAAGGGGTTTTTTTAAACTTAAAATAAAAACAGGCTATTAGCACTCTTGCAATATTTTGTTTATTTAAATGTGTCTGATAACTGACACCTCTTGCTCTGAATGACTGCATCAAAATGTCTGTGCTGTTGCAACCTTGAGTATGCTGTTCAGGTGTGTATCTGTAAGCTGCAAACCTATGATGACGCAAGCAGCAGCAGAACTGGAAAAAGAAGCAGGAGACAGCCAGTTCCACCACGGGTCTGATAGAAGCCCTCCGGGGGCCTGATTCAGCCCACGGGGCGCATGTTTGACACCCCTGGTCTACGCAGACTGGCAGCGGCTTTCCAGGGTCTCAGGCAGAGGTCTTTCACATCACCTCCCGCCTGATCCTTTTTCAACGGGAGATGCTGGGGACTGAACTTGGGACCTTCCACATGCCAAGCGGATGCTCTACTCAGGAGTGAACCTCAAGGGTCAATTTTCCATACAACATACACCCAAACACAGAAGACTGAACAAACGAGGTGGACAATGGCGGAAAACAGCCCCACTGAGGCTTTCCTAACGAAGTCTCAACCTCAGTTATGAGAAGGACGGATGACGTATCAAACTGGTCATCACACCTCAGAAAGGATATTATAGCATTGGAAAACATGCAGAAAAGGGCAACTAGGGCCCCGGTCACATGGGAGGATTTGCCCCACAAAACGGATGGGTTGAGGGCGGATTAAACTAGCGCAATCAGATGTCAACATTTGGCAAGCGTCACGCCCCCGCCCCCAACCCGTCGCTACCGGCCGAAAGGGCGGATTTAAAAGAGTACTACTTACTGGGAAACTGCAAAAGAGTACTACTTACTGGGAAACGGGCAGCATGGGCGACCATGTGATCGCCGACATGTCTGTATCCCGTGTTATGCGAGGCCCTGCAACACTGCGCATGCGCACAACTTTAGCTTGGAGAAACGACAGCTGAGGGGGTGACACGATCGAGGTTCACAAGATTATGCATGGATAAGAGCAGGTTGAGAAAGAAGCCCTTTTCTTCCTTTCTCACAAGACAAGAACTCGTGGGCACTCCATGAAATGGCTGAGCAGTCAGGTTAGAACTGATAAAAGGAAGTCCTTCTTCACCCCAAGAGTGATCAACACATGGAATACACTGCCACAGGAGGTGGCGGCGGCTACAAGCATGGACAGCTTCAAGAGGGAATTGGATAAACATCTGGAGCAGAGATCCATCAGTGGCTATTAGCCACAGGGTATAGATAGGAACTCTCAGTCTGGGGCAAGGGATGCTCGGTATTCTTGGTGCTTGGGGGGCCCCAACAGTGGGAGGGCTTCTAGTGTCCTGGCCCCACTGCTGGCTGGACCTCCTGATGGTATTTTTGGCCACTGTGTGACAGAGTGTTGGACTGGATGGGCCATTGGCCTGATCCAGCATTGGCTTGTCTTGTGTTCTTATGTTCTTACTGCTTAACGCTTCCCCATTTTTAAAGCTCCGGCCCACATCTTCTCGGGGCCCAAGCACAAAAAAGTCGTTCAGGAATCTTGTAAATTGAGCACTCGTTTCCTGAATGACATTAAAGTTTCCAG